TGAAGTCGAGCCTTTGAATTAGAAAACAATGACCAAATGCTCGCTAGAGACCTCGATTTAGCTTAAGAAAGGATGTCATTGGCATCCCTCAGGCTAGGAAGGTACCAAGGGAAATTGTCAAGGCAAAACCGGAAGAAGGTTCAAATAAAAGAATTCCAAGTCGGAGATTTGGTACTGTGAAAAGTGGTGGGCAATGCTCGCGAATCTAGTGATAGGAAATTGGGTCCCAATTGGGAGGGCCCTTATAAGGTGGTCTCTGTGGGAGGGGGCACAGACGTATATAGGTTGCAAAGTATGAATGACAATGATGTAACCTGGCTATGGAATATATCGAATTTAAAGAAATACTACTAAATCAGATTTCAGTCTTTATGGTTGTATTAACACGGGTCAAGCGCTCGGTCCTTAGGGGTACGACCCCGAGGGGGGTAAGACTCCACCTTTGGAGTAATGCCTTTAAATTTTTGACACGAGCCAAGCACTCAGTGGTTAGGGGTACGACCCCGAGGGGTGGAAGACTCCACATTTGGAGCAATGCCTTCAAATTATTAATACGGGTCAAGTGCTCGGTTGTTAGGGGTATGGTCCGAGGAGTGTAAGACTCTACCTTTGGAGCAATGCCTTCAAATTATTAATACGGGTCAAACGCTCGATTGTTATGGGTACGACCCCGAGGGGTGTAAGATTCCACCTTTAGAGCAATGCCTTCAAATTATAAAAATGATCCAAGCACTCGGTAGTCAGGGGTGCGGCCCTGAGGGGTGTAAGACTCCATCTAGGGAGCAACACCAAATTATAAACGAGCCAAGCACTTAGCCGCTGTATACACTCGGTCCTGAGGGTCCAAAGACCCAGAAGCAAGTTCAACGCGTTTACTAGGAATTTCTCTTATAGATTCAACGTGAAGCCTTGCTACTTTAGAAGGTTATTATTGACATAACATCAAGGCCATTTCCAAGAAACAAAGTAACATGATGCAGGAAAGAAAGAACACTTGTAGAAAAAAGAAGTTTCATTACATTCAAAAAGAGGCTTTGCGTCCCCAAGCATACAAATAGTTACTAAATTTTGTACAAAGAAAAGCTACAAAGAGTTACAGAATAAACATGGGACATAGAAGTTGCTAAAAACAACAGCTGCTAAGGGCCCTCGGCTCATTCCTCCCCGGCTTCTCCCCCTCCGAGGCCTCCACGCCGCCTTTGTAGTTCATCTCCAACCCTCAATATCTCGTCTAGCTTGGTGTCATGCACTCCAGTAATGATTGGAGGCGGAGGAGGGGGAAGATCATCTGCTGCCTCGGCAGGTGGCAAAGACGGAAGGGTAGGAGAAGGCTGGTCAGAACCGTCGCTAAGTGTTATGGATTCGTTCCCACCCTTAACGCCGACCGCCCCTTCTACCTGAACTTGCTCACCTGGGTCGGCTTGGACTTGTTCCTCCAACACTTCGTCATCGGCCTCCCTTCGAAGGCTGTGCATGGCGAACAAGTCCGAGCCTACCTCAACGTGGTAGGCATGAAGGGCGGCGTCCCAACCTTCTTTGAAAGCCTTCTTCTTAGCTTCCTCAAAGGCAGGGACCATTTGGTCTTGGGTGGCCAACCACATCCTTTGACATTCTGACTGTAGCCTTTCCTGCTCCCCCGCCTTCTCTAAGGTCAGGGAGTCCACCTTGGCAGTAAGATCGTTTATGACGGACTCGGACTCTTGTAGCTTGACCTCAGAAGAGGAGACTTGCAGCTCATATTCTTCAACCTTCTTGATTATTGCGGCTTCACCCGCCTTCGTCTTTTCTAGATTGGCATTAAGGGCGTCTCGCTGGAGGATGAGCTTGGCGATGTGCTTGGTCTGGTCACCGAGGGTCCTCTCAACCTTAAGGATGTGCTCATCCTTAGCAGCCATGGCTCGCTTGGCATTCTTCACCTCTTGTTTGTATTCCCAAAAATGTTCAACGATGGCCCCCACCTGTTGGCTGACCTGAAAAGGGAGAAAACTATTATAAACGACCAAAATTGTGCAAGGAATACTCGGGAAAAGCGTCATACTTACCACCAAATTGCTTTGGATTGTGCTCATCAATAGCCGATTATCTGAATAGCCTTTGTATACGGCCATGTCCGCTTCAAATTGAAAATTCCCCGCAACGACAAATGCCACCTTGAGGGACTGGAGGATGGAGTCAGCTTCCAAGATAGGGCAGCCGCTACTAGCCTCAGCCCGAGGGACCCACTCGCCAGACACAGACGGGCCTGGGGTATCATGCCACCTCTTCACTCGACGTTCTTCGGACTATTCAGCCTCCTGGTCACGCCGATCCCTTGGATGGTCTCTAGAAGCGGGGACTTGAGATGGGGGCCTTTGCCTCGTTGGTGTGATCGGGTCTCTAGAAGGTTGAGGACGCGGCGGCAGCGGGGTGGGTTGTATCCGAGGAGAACTTGGCAGGGGAATGATTGGGGCCGTTTTGGGAGGCCCGATCAACCCTGCGAGCCTGGTTCTCCTTGCCGCAGCAGCGGCCTCCATGGTGGCAGCGGTGATCGATGGTGGTTTGAACATTTCTTCGGATGTGGTGGGCTCGAGAGGAGGATGATTAGACTCTTCCCCGGAATCTTCCTCGAACGACGAAGAATGGTCTTCCCAAAGAAAAGGGTTGAAGGGAGGCGGGATCTGAGAGAATCGGTTGTAAGTCGGCGTGTAACCGAGTAGGGTATGTGTCGTTCGCTTGGCAGGGTCGTAGGACCAAACCCTTAGGAGATTGGCAAATCGGATTTGGGACCTCAAGGGTTGAGCAGCATCCCGACAATATCCTTCTGCAAAAATAAATAGTCGAGGTCAGTTCCAATGATCGCAAAATCAATATAAGTCTAGGGGAGGCAAAGACACACCTTCATCCCCCGGTACCTTGGGACAATACAATCCGACATACTCGGGCCTTGGTCTACATACCCCTTGTCCGAGTCGGGCATGTGGGTTACCAGAAACATTGAGGCATCCCGAGCTTGGAGGTAGTATCTTTCCCTAACAACTAACCTCAAGTCATAGCAGAACAAACTTTCATCTACTCCTAGGTCGGTTCCCAATCGAGCATTTAAGGCGACTACGTCCATCATGATCCTAAAAGAAATTAACCCCACATTGAAGGGGATAGAGCTTTAGTTGCATCAACAGTTTTAGCAACAGAGGGTGGAGAGGGAAGGTTAACCCTCATTCCATGATAACCTTGGTCCAAAAAGGCATCATGTCTACACTTTCCATATCCCTTCTATGACGGGTGGGGTTAAAAGGGAAGACAAGGACAGGCTCATGGATGTGGTATCTAACCCTGAAAGCTTGAATGTTCTCGTCAGTCACTTGGATTCTCCTCAACTTGGGGTTAGCCCTAGCCCTAATGGATGTCTCCCCCCTGATTCTACTGGTTCTAGCCATTAATGGGTTCTAGAAGGAAGAAATGTAGAAGAAATGAAGAAAAATGCTCAAGAGGAAGTACTTACAGGAAGGTGGTCTTCGAAGAGGGAGCTCAGAGGACGAAGGAAGCTTGGAGGAGGACAGTGAAATGCTCGGGGTCTGATTGCTGAAGGGAGGCTGAGGTTGCAAAAGTTCTGTGAAGACATGAGTGCCTTCTATTTATACTGCTTTACGGGGAGTGGGAATTGAAAACTTGGCCATCATTAGGGGATTTGAAAAGGGCGGCGCCAGACGTGCAAGTAACCGTTGCCATTAATAAGGCATGATGATTGAGCCTCCAATCTCTTTACACCACTTGTCTCACACTGCGAAAAGAATGGAGGCTGGGGGACAGTTGGCGGGACTCTAGGTGGCTCTACAGCCCCCAAAATGACACGTGGAATACTGAAGTCGTTGTGATCTCCAAAAGACGCCAAGGAGGTAAGCCGAGGTATGGTGACCCAGAGGAGCCGAGTACGACAGTTGACATCGTATTTAATGCGACGTGACCACTTATTTTGTGGCAGAATGAGTGATGGTGACAAGATTAATAAATGTGGGCCTGCAAACGCTTGCACTCTGGGAGTCTAGGCCTACTATCATGATGGCTAGACATTAATGACTGATATGCCGAGAAGATACGATCAGCTATTCCCGAGGAACTGTTCTCCCGAGTATTCAATGCTCAGTTGCTGATGTCGGATGCCGATCTGAGGGATGTGGATACTCAGGGAAGGGAATAAATGTTCGGCATTTAGCTGAGCTCTCGTCCCATCATCCTAGCATTTAGTAGGAGGAGACGTGAGTGGAGAACACTCATTGTGCGAGGAGTGACATGTCAGACATTAAGTGTCCAGATGAGACTGGAGGTTTTTGGCAATAATTGCTAATTCAGGTATAAATACTCTTAAAAAAGATGAACAAATGTACGCAAATTGAAACCAGAAAAGATTATTCATTGAGCTCGAACCTTGAATCTTAAAACTGACTTAAGCTTCGAAGGGAAGAAGCGGGGTGTTCACTTGACCCTATTTTTTCTGACCCTGTTGTTGTTTCAGGTTTGCCAGGTTAAAGGTCGTTATCTCGAACTATTGCAGGAATTATCCCATGCAAAATACATATCAAAACCACAAGGGACTATTTGGTAAAAGGGATGAAAGTTTGGCGTGATGATATTGGAGAAAATAGTTTAAAGAGCCCTCAAAATCATGTTTGAATAACAAGTTTAATCTGGGGTTTTTTATGGGTTTGGGAGGATGAGTTAAGGGTTAAGGATGCAAAGATAATTGTAGCTTTAACATGAATATGAATTGGATTAATTAAGGGATAAAATAATTATATATAAAATAAATAATTATTAATAATTATAATATATTTATGAGACTTATGTGTATATGTGTTATATCTCAATCATAAGTATGAATTATATTTAATGTTGAATGGGTTTAAGTCTAAAAGGATTTGGAAGACCATCCCAAATATCCGTCCAAACAAAGCCCCCAAGAAGTGACTACTACTGAGTAGTATTGCAATCTTGTATTTTCTCGGAGAAGAGGAAAAAAAAAGATGATCAGAACAAGGCTGGCTTGGTTCACGTTAGGCTTTGCGACTGCCGGCGCTACAATCACTCACTTGGTCCTCAAAGATCTCTGGGTCCACCGTAACTCTCTCTCTTCCGACGTACTCTATTCCTGTTACTCTTCAATACCCAGTTGTTTTTCTATACATAATCACATGTATTTTATGTATATTTGCAATATTTTTTTTTCTCTTTTAATGGGTGGAATTGATTTGTTTCATTTGTAGTTGAAGCTAAAGTTTGATGCCCTAGACACCAGAATCACCAATCTGGAGCCAGTCCTTAGTAACAATTCCATTATCCAGCAGGTACGGTGCTCCCTTTCAATATTTCAAATTTGGTATTTTAATCCCTACCCTGGAATTATGTTGCCCCCACTATCTGTTGTTTTGTTTATGAGAAAAATTATGTATTAGGGGGTTTGGTTAATACGCTGATTTTCATTTTCTTGTATTTTGTAGGGTTTAATCTGCTCATATAGATACTAACATGCCTTTGCGTGTAATTTTTTTTGTTTCTCGTCTTATGCTATAATTTAGTACTTATTTGTGTGAGATTTAAATGGTTTCCAATATGGGTACAACTATAATGTTTACATATGTTCATGTGTGCGTGGGGTTGCTTGTGCACATATTAAAATTATAACAATTATTCAAGTAGATGATGTAGGTACAAAACGTGCCCAAAAAAAGGCAGTAAAGAAGCTGATTTAGGTGATCACGAGTTGCCAGTAATTTTTTTTTGACCAAATTATAGAAGCTGTAGAATCATGTTCATGACAATTTACTAGGGGTACCCTTGACATGGTGTAATATGAAAGGTTCTGAGGGTGATGTTGGTGGCTGTTGAATGAGTTTATTTGAGACCGTCTCTCCTGTTTTATATTACAGATAATTGCGACTCATAGTATACTGTTTGCCTCTTCCAATGAAAAGCAAACTTTGGGCCACCTAATTGGTCATAAGAGGTGATGGCAAATGTGCATGAAGAAGGAATTCCAACTTGATGGAGATTAGGATTGAACAGGAACAGTTCGTTGTAGAATTCAAAGGGTCTTCTGCAGAGTTGATACGCATCACATAATGGATTCGGTTTAGTTCTTTTTCATATGTGTTGAATACATGATGTTTGTTATGGTTGAAAGATTCAATTTTAGTGCATTGAGTTGGAGTATGAAAGATACTTTTTTTTTAGTAAGTTAGGGGAAAATAGTTTTGTGTGTGGGTTGAAGTAAAGCCTAGCGGAGTTGGAGAAATCGTCAGAATCACGAAGTTGTGGAATAATGGGAGGGGGATGGGGCTGGTCATTCCTAAAGGCATTGAAGGAAGGGGATGGAAGGCTTTTGGGAAGATACTTGAAGATGTTCTTCACACCATAGGACATTATATGCATCAGNTTTAATCTGCTCATATAGATACTAACATGCCTTTGCGTGTAATTTTTTTTGTTTCTCGTCTTATGCTATAATTTAGTACTTATTTGTGTGAGATTTAAATGGTTTCCAATATGGGTACAACTATAATGTTTACATATGTTCATGTGTGCGTGGGGTTGCTTGTGCACATATTAAAATTATAACAATTATTCAAGTAGATGATGTAGGTACAAAACGTGCCCAAAAAAAGGCAGTAAAGAAGCTGATTTAGGTGATCACGAGTTGCCAGTAATTTTTTTTTGACCAAATTATAGAAGCTGTAGAATCATGTTCATGACAATTTACTAGGGGTACCCTTGACATGGTGTAATATGAAAGGTTCTGAGGGTGATGTTGGTGGCTGTTGAATGAGTTTATTTGAGACCGTCTCTCCTGTTTTATATTACAGATAATTGCGACTCATAGTATACTGTTTGCCTCTTCCAATGAAAAGCAAACTTTGGGCCACCTAATTGGTCATAAGAGGTGATGGCAAATGTGCATGAAGAAGGAATTCCAACTTGATGGAGATTAGGATTGAACAGGAACAGTTCGTTGTGGAATTCAAAGGGTCTTCTGCAGAGTTGATACGCATCACATAATGGATTCGGTTTAGTTCTTTTTCATATGTGTTGAATACATGATGTTTGTTATGGTTGAAAGATTCAATTTTAGTGCACTGAGTTGGAGTATGAAAGATGCTTTTTTTTTAGGAAGTTAGGGGAAAATAGTTTTGTGTGTGGGTTGAAGTAAAGCCTAGCGGAGTTGGAGAAATCGTCAGAATCACCAAGTTGTGGAATAATGGGAGGGGGATGGGGCTGGTCATTCCTAAAGGCATTGAAGGAAGGGGATGGAAGCCTTTTGGGAAGATACTTGAAGATGTTCTTCACACCATAGGACATTATATGCATCAGGATAGGTGTTTTCAAAGAAGAAGAGTGGTGGAAGAGTGAAGTTCTATGCATTAGGGGGACCTTACTTCATCCATGGAGGGAAATTCAAACTGCTTTGTCTAAAATTCTGAATTTTGTTATTAAACACAAGTTGCAAAGCGCAGTGGATTTACCGAAGGTGGTCTCTAGGCAACTCACACTTTGAGGTGTTAGTTTTGTCTCCAATTGTACAATATCAATGCTCCTACATTATCTAAATAAGCTTCAAGTATTGAGGCATGAAGGTCACCAAAACTTTTATGTAATATATTTTTCGTGTCAGTTGAGCTTGAAATCTTCTTGATACATAAACCGAGGAAATGGAGATTAAGATTTGAAAAAATGATTTAAGGTAGAACCTGAAGGGTGATATGGAGAGTGGATTCTTATGATTGAGTCCAACCGCGCACTGGTTCTTTCTCTTGTTTGTTGAATAAAGGCTGTGAGATGGCTGAAGGAATTGCTTTTCAGTTCTTTGTTTTGGAATAGGAAGGATTTGTTTTTTAGGAAATACAGGAATACGGACTTTCTGTGGATGGAAATGAAGTCTAGAAAGTTTGGGGATTTTGTACTAAGCTACTTTACAATGGCAGAAGAAGAGCCTTGATTATTCACAAAGGCATTGAAGGACGGGGTTGACAAGCTTTTGGAAGGTTGTTGGAGGAGGTCAAGTCTTGGTGGTCAACATGCTTTGCTAGAGAAGGAAAATAGGGAATAAGCTAAAGGTGGTTGGGGAGCATGAGAAGAGTTGTTGTGAAGTCCTTAAGCAAAAAGATTATAAGACGTTTGAGTGTGATAACGTTGTCTCCAGAGAAGAGGAGAGATGGTGATGTGCAGTGATATGTATTAGGGGGAGTTTATTCCACCCCTAGAAGGCAATCTAGTTTTCCTTGGTAAAAACTTTGAAAACGGAAATAATTTTGCAACCTTTCCAAACGGATAAAACAATCTTTTTTCTGTGAATATAGATTGAAAGCAGAGGAAATCTGTAGGAATGAAGACTTCTATAATGGTGCCATGAATCCACTTAATCAGAAGTAGAGTGTCATTTTTGGGAGGATGGATTGCTATGGAAGGACTACCATTGTATTTGTGGCACCGTGAGGCCTTCAATAAGATTGGTGATTGTTGTGGAGGATTTCATTGATGTTGATTGGGAAATTGAAAATCAAGCTAAATTGTTTGAGGCCAGAATTTGTGTTCATGGAGGATTCATTGATGTTGATTGGCAAATTGAAAATCAAGCTAATTTGTTTGGGGCCAGAATCTGTATCCACAAACCACAAACGGGTGTTCCTCAAGACCTCTTTTAGTGTTGATTCCAATGGGAAAAACTTTTCCAATTAAAGTCAAAATTTTCAGTTTGTGCATCAATAGCATTTGGTCTTGGGCAGTGAATCTATTCCACGAATTTCGTTCATTTGCATGCCTGTTCAGTTACAGCTCAAATTCTATCATGATGCTGCAAACGATTTTACTGTTTGGTTTCCATAACTTTTGGTGTTTTTTTAGGCCCCTTCTCGCTTCGGTCAATTGTAGTCTGGCATTCAGGTTGATTAGGGTTTGCATTTTTTCCCTGGGTTTCCATTGGTCATGTTTGTGTTCTTACAGCTGTGTTATCTTTTCTTGTAGGAGGAAGGCAACTTGAAATGAAGCGTTTCCTTTTTCACTTCACATGGTTGGGTTAGCCTTTACTTCAAGCTGATCCTATATTTTGGCAGTTTTTGATCTGAGATATTACAATATGTTGCATGGGTTCATCTTAAGAACTGCCTTTCTTCTTTCATTAGAATCATATATTTGGGGCTTCATGTAACTCATAAAGATTTCTTTTTTGCTACCTAATAGTTATAAAATTGTTTCTTTTGTTATCCAATAGTAATGCTGAATTTTTCATAATAGATACGTGTCTTTTGTGGTCAATTCGGTCATGATTGGCCAATATTTAAAGTTGTGGTGTGTCTTGCATACTTGTTCGATTGCCTTTCAGAAGTCACCATTGTGTGGTCTGCCAATTGTAATAAATGTTCACCTGATCAGTGAAAATCCAACATATTTAGCCAACAGGTATGCAGATGGTTAGGGGTCTACCCCAACCGTTGGTAGGGTTTTGCAGGGTTAAATTGTACAACCCATCTTAAAAGAGAGGCTTTTCTGTGGTTGTGAGCTGGTTAAGACAACAAACAGTTATTGAATGCAATATCTTCAGCTGACAACATAACATGCCCTTGGGGAAGTGAGACAGCAAGTTGTCAGTGCTCAATTTCAGCTGGCTGCAAAATATTCGGCTGATCATGTTCAAGAGCAAGCAGAGAACTAAACACAATTTATTTGCAAATAAAACAAGTTTTATTGGCCAAGCTAGTGTTCTAACATTGGCCAAGACATGTGTTGATTGAATGTTGCCGCCTTCCAGATTTCCATAACACAGGTTCTAAAAGTTTTTTGTGCTTAGCTATTGTAGGGATTGGATGCATTGCTCGTAGAATTGATCAAAATGAATGCAAGTGTTTGATGAAGTCTTTACAGGCCATTGAGGGTTTTGTTCCCTTATCTTGGCTTTTCTATAGAAATACAAGAAAATTAAATTGTGCATCACTTTGCTGGTGAACCCTTTTTATTGTTTCCAAATCTAGTTTTGTATACTGTACTCCTTTTGATCTATTGATTCATTTTCACCTGTGTGATGTTTTTGTTATTCTACCTATGGGAAATCTTGATATGTTGCAAGGGTGTTTTTCTTTTTTTTTCCCGGAGCTTCTTTGCTTGTGTCTTCCAAGTCCTTTTGGGAAACTGGTTGCTATCTACAGGACTAAACTATTAGGATGAGTTGTTGCCTTGGTTGTTCCCAGTTCCAGTATATTTGCCGTTGTAAAATGGGGTTTCACAGAACCATCTGAAAAATGATGTCTTAGCTCGTGGTGTGCATCGGCTGTCCATATGATAACTAGAGCCCCCATTGCCACGGAGAGGAGCACCACTGCTGCCCATACCATCCGTACATATTTCTTCAAAGGTTTGCAGTGTTTGTGAAGGATTTCCGAAAAAGCGTCCTTCACCATCTGACATTCAACTAGACTTTCCATAGCAGGATACACATCTAGTAGTTGCTGTATTGTAGTTGAGTAAGCTTCCACTGTTCTAATATCTACGGAGGAGATTGATATTCCTCCGTTACAGGTTCCATTGTTGGAATCTGGACATGTAAGCATCTTCAATAACTTCAAAAGCAGAAGGGAAAGGAGAAGGAAATGTTTAGAAATCTTAGTAACCCATTAAGTAAAGTCAGATACATAGATCAGCATAACTTTGTTTATGTCAGATAAATCAAGCATACTGTTAGTAGCATCTATAAAATAACATGCATATAGACATGTACAACATAAAATGCAGTGTCAATATGATGTTTGAGCCTTATTTTCCTCTGGCATACCCGAGGGATGTCTCCGATCTGAATTGCATTAGGAGGACAGTTCTCTGGCTGGTACTCGTACTCCGGTGCTGCAGAAAAAGGATTGCATACCTGAACAATATTTCCATATGATATGGATATGTTCCTGTTCACCTGCAGTTGTTCCATCGCTGTAGAATTTAAGTATTCTGCTTTATATTCTGCATTTCTTATGTGATAGAGGAATTGCCTTCCACCTTTGTGAGATATAAAAACTCAAAGGAGTAATAACTGATGTCCTATTATAGTGCTCCGTTCTGTAGAGGTATGCATATTGTGCCTAAGATCCATTTTTGAATTCTAGAGGTTGGCCATATAATACTCTCTAGTAGAAGCCTCTAAAGATATGATTCAGTCCATATTAGATTAGCCACGTACCAGCTTTTGTTTTCAATTATGGAAACATAGACTTATTTTTGAAATCAGTTGTCGAAGACTGCAAAACTTTCATCCAATATAAGTAAAACAAAGGAGTAACAGAGCTGCTTTTATCGTATAACTTTTTAGTTTAAGTGAATAATTATCAAGTACCATTTGATAAGTTTTTCAAGTTTTGTTTTTTCGTGGTTTTTTATGTACTCCTTAAATTAGCGCTTGTTTGGCATTTTTTTTCACCTTTTTCTTGTCTGGGATTATACTTCCTTCTTCCAATCAATCACATGTATGGTAATGTACTTATATGTATACTAATGTGCATATCGATCAGTTTTGAAAATTTGTAATCAAATAGTTTTTTTGATGTTTTTAAGCAAAAAAATACTTCCGAAAATACTACCAAATAGTACATTGATTGTACTAGTTTACCTTGTTCACTAGGTCATAAATCTTCGAACTGACATTATGTAGGATGGATTTTGCTGGAAGCAATTCATCGCAAGGGACAATTGAGCTCAAGCTGTTGTTGTAGGGATCTTGTTGGAAGTCTTCAAGTACTGGGCATGTATCTCCTGCAAACCTGAAAATAACCACCTTCACTCAAATTATTAGGCTCCAACTTCTTTTTTCTATCTCCTCCTTGTCAATAACCCAAACTTTTCAGAGAATAGAGACTGTTAGGCTTACGTCTCAACAAAGAAATACACCCCAAAGAACAACCAGCATAGGACTGTGAGCCACCAACACAATACGATGAACCTGTATGATTTAGAAAACACACTGAGAATATAATGCACTTATGGATGCAATATTAGCATAGGCAAATGAACTAATCTGTCAGTGATCAAATGGTTTAGTGTTCTTACATGTAAAGTGCCCGTTGTAGTTTAAGAATTCCTAATGCTGCATCCGAACAACATGAAAAACTATTTCAGTTGGGATATCAGTTTGAATAATGAGCCAATTACGACTGGTAGACTTTTAAACATTTCAAAGTTCCAATTTTATGTTTGAAACACTTATATATTTTTCCCTCAATTGGTGGTTTTGCAGTCATTGGACATATAAGTTTGAGTTATAATTGTAACTGTGTGCCACTGGGAATGTTCTTTGATTATAGGGATTATTTTCAACTGAGCTTGGAATATGAATGATGGCAAGTATGCACCTGACAAGGCAATCACGGCTATCAAATTCAATGAAATACTCACTGTAGTTAGTATATACCTGCAAGCACAAACAAGTATTTCTAGATAAGCAATGGGAAACACACACACACAGAGAGGGAGAGGGGAGTTTTACAGTATGCTGAGACCCTTGTCGATGGCCTGCCTGTTCTTCTTGGCTTGTCGTCGTATATCTGTGGCTTTGGAGTCCAGTCTTTCGGATGTCGAAGCAAGGAAGCTAGTAGAAGTAAGGAAGCCAGTAGAAGTAGGGAGGCCAAAAGCCCCAACACTTCCATTAGTTGTCTCCAAGTTAGTAGTAATGTTTTTCATTGCTCCAGTAGCATTATATATTGTGTCCGATGCCTCATTTGCTGTATCAATTATAATGTTCAGCACCGTTTTCGCTTTAGAATGGAACTTTGCATTTCCTCCAAGAACTAGCCCAGACGCTGTTCTGAAAAATTATGAAATAGCATGGTCACCATTCGGCGGTAATGAGATTTAGTTCATACATTTTTTAACATAAGTCGTTACTGTTTTGGTTACTTGTGAATGCCCCTCCCTTTTGGTTTATTTAAAAAGTTTTGGACTGGATTGACAGCTGTCTGGAAAATATATTAGGTCCTCGCGTTTTTTTGACACAGCACAAATCCGATACGTAATTAATGGATTAGAGTTGGAATTAGTTCCGAACATGAATTTGAAAATGAGATGAACAGACTTGTAGGACTTTCATTGCGAGTATAGTGAAGAAAGTTGACAGGAGAATAGGCCCGTGATAACACTGCTTATGGCAAGGTGATTTATTCCTCAGCTTCTTGTGGTAATTTTTGCAGCAACAAGTGGTTGCAAGAAGATATCCTCCATACATTACACCACAGACAAGACACAACACAGCAAGGGCATATCCGTAAATACCTGTAAATATGGTTGACTACAGAGAATAGTAGAAGAAAAGTTGGTATTTGGATTTGGGGAGAAAGAGAGAGAGAGAGAGAGATGCAATTTAAGTTACACTCCAATAGTGCTTGTTTTTGAGGTCATAGGCTCCTGTGTATCTGTTGAAATCATGCAAAGGATCTATCCTTGCAGTGTGATGTTGGTGTCCCAGGAGTTGTGAGACATTTACAATTTGAAGCAAACTGCTTGTTGGTATACGTTGAAGTTGAGTCCACACTGACAGCTGTGAGTCTTGCCATACTATATTGTGTTAATTTAAGTTAATATCATCTTCAAATTTGTTCAATTATTTTTGACCTATTGTGTAGGTGGATTCGTGTAAATCTAAAATGATTATGACCCATATTCATTAAGGCTAAACACATACCTTATAACTTTGTAATGGTTTTATGTAAATTTAAAAATATCATTTTAAGAGTTATCATCCATAATCCAATGTGTATTAGATTCTTCTATTCGATTAAGTTCGTCAATTGAGGAAGTTGAGAGAGATAATTTGGATACTAATTTAGCTTTTGTTATTGTTCGTATAAAATGACTGTTCTTATATTCGAGCTCCAAGATTGGCAGTTTAATTTTGTCCAAGGTCATAACTAAAATATTGGAGACACCCCTGTCACTTGGTCCAAGCAGTTAGCGATTTAGGTTGCGTTTGGTAACCACTTATTTGTATTTTTTTTTTCTATTTTTGCTTTCCCTTTTTGCAAAAAAGAAAAAAATAAATACTCATAGATTAAATGAAGGTCGACAATATGAGATAAAAAATAAAAAGATCGAGTTACAACAGAGTCATCCGATTTTTGGAACCATGAGAGGGGAGATTATCTACCTTAACTCGGAGAAAGCTAACTCACAAATAACAAAACAATGTGTAGAGTCTACACACACACACAAAACGATCGAAATCAATATTTTTAGTAGCAGTTCAATGGAGTTCTATTTGGGCAAAATTACTGTCATTTTATATCTCTATTTTCCTTTTTCCATAGTTTTTAACTTATTTTTTTATTTTATTATAATTTTTCTAAAGTATAATTTAAATCCATATTTTTAGACGCTCAACTGAAAAAGTGTATTATAGAGACACTTTATACTAAAAATTATTGGTACAAACCATACTTTTACAGAAACTATGGAATATTGGGTAACAAGTAATTAGTGATGTAAAACTATAAAACGACGGTAGTTAATCCCAATGGTAGCTCAAGTTGTAAAAAGGCCAAGTTGTAAATCAAGACGTTTGAATATTGGCAATTCCTTGAGGCTAGAGAATGGGGGATTTATTCCTTGTGAATATCTTAGTTTCAGTGTAGATGACCTGCTTTTGACCAGACTGGTGAGGAGATTAGTTAAGGTACATGTAAGCTGACCTAAATACCCTTGACCGTTGACCTAAAAAAAAGAGACCGTAATTAAGGAATGATTCTAAATCAACATGTGATCCGAACTTTTGTTGCTTTTCTATCCCCAGACCATAGTTCAAAGAAAGAGGACGTTTTAAATCAAGGTAACAAAAATTATCTGGCTTATGAACTTAGGACAGTTGGGGAGAGAGAGAGAGATTGTTGCAGAAAATCGAAACAATCTATTTTTAAAATGTTGAAATATAAATATTAAATTACATCTCCTGTTTAAACTTTTAGAGCATATGCTTGTTTAACATGAAAAGAATTCTCGAAAATACTGACTTTTGAAACTCCTCATAGAACCAAGAAAATGAAAACATAGAGAAGGGGAAAATAGGTAAATTGACGAACTCACCAGATCGGATAAACATGAGACTTGTTTCCAGACAATGTTCATACAAAGTTGTCTTGAAAATAAGCTTCAAGCGCTTGAATATGGATTCCATTTTTTGAATCTCAACAAGTTCTTAAATTTCTAAACATAAAGTTGTCAAACAAAGAGTAGCTTGTTTCAAGATTAATCGATCTAGTCTAGTATATAAAAGCCAGCAGTTCCTGAAATTTTAAGCTTTCTTTAGCTTAAATTAAGAAACCCTCACATCAGCAAAACTTAGCCCAAACAGATGCAGTCTTTCAACGATATACGAAATCTTTCCGATTCTCATCTCTCTTTTGCTTATATAGAAAGTCGTATATAACCAGATATACCTACAAAGTTTGAATGTTCAAATGTTTTCCTGCTTGAGTCCTCCTCAGAATCTACTATTATAGTATAATAATAAAAACAACCTGCGGGTTCAACACTTCAACAAAAATACCACAACAACTATTGAATTACTTATATATAGTAATCTCTTCTTAATTAATAATTTTTTTGTTAGACAAAACCAGTTCAGAAGCCTCGACTTCCAACACAAAATGCATCTCCCTTATGATTGGCAGCCGTGTCAAACAATCACATGCAAGTAGAGAGAGATGATGAGAGCTACTTCTCACATCTCTTAAAGACCGGCCACTCTTATTTTTAGGAAATATGTTCTAAATCTGCTCGGACTATAGTTCGAGGGAATAGCCGGCGCACATCTAAACACTCTATAGGTAAAAAAAAAAAAAAAACTACCCCTTAGCTTCTTTAACAAATATATTTCACTCTAATCTGACTAAAATTAAGAATGAAATGATTTGGAAGCTTTTAATGCCAACAAATAAAGGAGCCCAACAATAGCCAATTGATTGTCGGAGTTTTGCCACATCATTTGGACTACAACTTTAGTACTTAATTTGGTCATATTAGCATCTCTGATTTCAGCAGCTGAATCCAACAAAACCTCTATTTCTATGTCAAGCATTCTCTCTCTAGAAGGCGGGTAACAGCCAATTCTTTTTCTGGTCCAGTTTAGGAGCGTTTGATCATGCACCGCCATATGCAGTTAGTAAGATTTTTGCCTGTTTCAGTGTAGATTTTGTGTGAAACAGACACTTCATTTTGTTGCTTATTCAATTGCTTGGAAGATGCATTTTGTTGTGCATCGCAACAACCATACGAGCAGCCTCGTTAAAGGCTCCAGGTACATGGTTAAACTGTAAAAATAAATTCTTGGCTATGGTTCTAATGTTAACGATTAACGATGCTATTTACATTATTTACCTTTTACCAAAAAGAGTTGTAGTGGGTATTTCTGATTTCAATGCTTTTATCAATTAAGGCATAGTCAAAGACATACAATAAAGAGAACCTGCATGGAGAAATTGTTGAGGTTCTATCGACATTAAGTACCAACCATAATCATCTACGTTAATTTGAGATGAATTTTTTAAAAATGTTTAGAGAAGTGTAACTGTGTATTGGTACCATTGTTTGGTGATGGTGACATGAGACGCTGGTGTGAAGGTTTTGCTAACATCTTGTGTGAATTGCAACTCCTATTTCAACACACACGAAATCTCTTTTCCAATTATAGGGATTATGTAAATTTGTCTCAATTCTACAAATCTTTTCAACACTTTTGACTTTTTCATTTGATTTATATACACATTTGCGTGTATTTGATTTTCTCTTGTACAAGTATTTTTGACAAATAGTTATATGCTTATCAAAAAATTTACCAAATCAATGTAAATGATCTGATCAGTGAGTTTCGTTAGAAAAAATTAATGAAACATACTCATTTAACCATTCACATTCATTTGATAAATTTTTTGGAAATCATAATATTTTTATTTTCGACAACCTTCCGAGTATGCACGTTTCATTAGAAATCTTGATGTATGACAGGAAACAAAAAACAAAAAAAAAAAAAAAGGTTTGTGTAGTACTGTTAAAAAACAAAGAATGTCCAGGCCTCCCTCGTGGAAATATTATCAAAACTAGTAACTTGAATATATCTTGGCCGCTGATTAGATTACTTGTACCTAACCACTTAGTTGTTCATTTTCAGACAGCTTAAATTTGAAATTATTTTTTTAATATATATGACGACGAACCAATATTACCAACACGGAAGATAAATCACTAATTAAAAGGAAAAATAAAATACAAATTCCGGGAAGAGGGACAAAATATAGCACAATACAACCTTCTCCTTCAAAAGAGAAACACTGTGGCAGCAAAATTTATAATTTTTTTAGATCAAGTTATACTGTTTTGATATAGAAATTATTACGAGAAAAAGAGAAATATTATTTGACTTAAAATATTAACATTTTTTGTTGATTTTATCGATCACAATCATTAAATAGGTAATAAATCTCAATAAATACTGAGACCTACAGTGAAAATAATTGATAAAATCAACAAATAATGTCAATCTTTTAAGTCCAACAAGCATTGCTCTTAGAAAAATGATAGAACATAACTTCTAAAGATAAAGTTACTACTTTTTTTGAGGTCAAGTTATATCTTTTAAAAGTGAAGTTACAACTGATCAAGATAATTTATGATCAATCAAAACATTTTATGATCAATTATGAAGTCATTTACTTTACTTTTAAAAGGTTCAACTTGACCTCAAAAATAGTAACTTTCAAAACAGAACAATTTTTTTTCGATAATGTAGAATTACCCCCACTTCAAAAAAATTACATAAGAAACAATTATTGGAGTTGTCTATAGTGCCAAAAAAAAAAATCGGTATTGTACTGACATTTATCACATCTGTGAATATTATTATTATTGTTGTAGGTGTTTTTACTAGTATTATGACATTGAAAAAAATGGTAAAAATAGTTATTACAACAGTGATAAAAATACCCACAAAATTTTTTTTAATTATAAAAATAACCATAAAATTTATAAAATTACCAATATATAATTTTAGAAATATAGTACCAATTTTTTTTATTAGGTACAATTGTCAAGTCCATAATTGTTTGTATTTAACAAGAATTGACTCTATAAAATTGATTGCATCATCATGAATGGTTCCGTATCACTTTGAGACAACGGCAATCAGAATCTAAGCAGTTTCTTGAAAGACAATCAACCTTTCGTATGAGGTTCAACTGCTATGCATTTTTTTATTGTGTTAGCACTTTCAAAAATGACATGATCGCTTTCCGGCAATTCTTTCAGAAGGAAAAAAAACATACAAGTTGTAACGATTTTATGCACATACTCCAATGTGTTTTTAATATCCTAGTTGGTGTGATAATTTTTGACATAAATTAGTAATTTGAATAATAAATGAATTGAGTTAATACAAAAAATGAATAATAAGCTTGTTTAATTAGTAAAATAATTAAAAAATGTGTCACTACGCTTGAGCTTGCTAAAGCGCCAAGGGAGTACAAAGCTAATGTAAGCTAATGAGGAGAATTAGATTCGTTTTCTTTTG